AGTATGTGCACTCCTTCTATCTTTCTTAACGCTCCTACCCACAAACATCGCTGTGCAACAAGCGATTACTGCCACAACTCCACGACCTCTGGTGTGCGCACACTTCCCGCTCCCCCGCCCAATCCTCCTACTTTGTTTCGATCACGGCCTAGAAACCGGAGTGAACTGGTCAGCCCACTGACTTCTACCTCCCTGCTGCACTCTCCTACGGAGGTCTCAGACCTGGACCCACTCACCCAGGCCCCAACGGTCGTAAAGGTGGGTGGTGGTTGGTCTGCTCCCTGTCACCGCAGCAGAGCACCTTCCGAGTCCTCCCAAACCCCCCCTCCCTATCCCTTCTCCTCTTCGAGCCCACTGCATCCGGACTATTCTCCCCAACCCCCCTGAAGATTGCTGTGATATACAGGCCTCCTGGATCCATACCCCGCTTCTGGATGACTTCTCCTCCTGGCTACCCTTCTTCCTCTCCTCTGAGCTACCCACCATCATTCCTTGGGATTTCAACATCCCTGTCAACCTCGACAACCTGGACACAGCCGTCTCCTCCACTTAACCTCCTCCTTTACACTTGCACAGTGCATACAATCCACCACCCACTCCGACGGGAATATTCATTGATCTCCGTCATTCTCCAACCGCTGCGCGCCCCACAAATCACTAACACCCCTTCCCTCTTTTGACACAACCTGTGATCACCTGCTCTATGCTCCTCGTCCTCCACGCCTACCCCTCCAATGTCACACTTCTTACCAGCCGTAACCTCCACAACCTTAACCCTGCCTCCCTCCACTCTGCAGCTGATCAACTCCACGACCACATCCCTCCCCCTGTCCTGCCTCCGACTTGGCTATGACCGCCTACAATCAACGCGCTCTCAACAGCCCTTGACTCACTAGCGCCTTGACACACGCAACATCAGACTCCCGACCCGCTCCCAGCCCTGGCAGACTGATCACACCAAAACCCCTTCAAACGACACAGTCCGTGCCCCATGTGACTGCGACTATGGCGCAAAACGCCCCTCGAAATCCCAAACAAGCCTTTCACCACGCTACAAATCTGCCTTCCACACCTACACCTCCTCCCTCCATGCTGCCAACAGGCCTACTTCTTGACCCTCATCAAGGCCCTCTCTCCAATCCTCACCGACTCCTCTCGCCTTCAACTCTCTACTCTCTCTCACCCCCCACCGTACACCAGCACCTCACTCACTGCCCTTGAGATCTTGCCAATCACTTCAAAAAACAAGATTGACCACAATTCGCAAGGACATTGCCGCAACTCACAACGCCCTCTCAACCCTTCCCCTCTCACTATCAGCTACCCCCTTTTCCCCCCCTCCCCGTCGACATAAACCCGCAGGGACTTCATCGCTGGCTCAAACTCCCTCAACCCCTTCCCCCTCACTCAGCTACCCCCTCATCACCCCTCTCCCACGGCCCCACCACTGCTCTGACCTCCTCTTCCACCCCACCTACATTCCTCACACTGAAGCTCCCCCAATACTCGCACCTTTGACCTTACTACCATCGAGGAAGTCTCCAAGATCCTCTCTGATGCCCGCACTCACCACCTGCCCACCTCGACCCTATCCCTCACAACTCCTACGACCTCCTTCCCCTCCATCCTACGCTCCCTCACCCACATCTTCAATCTACTCCCTTCTCTCGGCACTTTCCCCAACTCCCCTCTGAAACATGCACACATCACCCCCCATACTTTTAAAAAGCCCCTCCCTGGACCCTAATGACCCGAACAACCTCAGACCCATCTCCCTGCTCCCATTTACATCTAAACTCCTTTGAGCGCCTAGTCCTACACCCGCCTATGCTCTCACCTCAATGACAACAACCTCCTCGATCCCCCTACAGTCGGCTTCCGTCCCCTACACTCCCACCGAACTGCCTTACTCAACTCTCCAACGACCCTGCCCTGACCGCCAAAGCTAATGGGCACTATTCAGTTTGCTCCTACTCCCTTGACCTCTCTGCAGCCTTCGACACAGGTCGACCACCCCCTCCTCCTCAAAAAACTACACTCCTCGGCCCTCAGATGATTCTGCTCACGCTTCTCCTGGCTCTCATCCTACCTGTCACCAACGCTCCTTCAGCGTTACCTATAATGCTCACCACTTCCCCCTCACTCCCCCCTCACTGTTGGGGTCCCTCAAGGCTCCTGTCCGACTCGGGCCCTTCTCTTCTCCATCTATAAACTCACTCCCTTGGCCAATCCTCAGACACTCTCACGCTTCAACTACCACTCTATGCCGACGACACACCAAATCTATCTCTCAACCCCCCAGCCTCACCTCACCCCCAACTTGCGTCTCAGCACTGAATCACCACACCTACTGAGCCAACATATCAGACTGGATGTCACTCCACTCTTAAATTGAACCCCTCTCCAAACCGAGTTTCATGTCTTCCTCCCAGCCCCCGGACATCCCCCCCATTGACTTCTCCGTCACATCCAACAACGCCTACCATCAAACCCCGCCCTGCAGGCCAGAGTACTTGGTGTCATTCTGGACTCCAACCTATCCTTTCAACCCAAGTCCAATCTTTAACAAAACTCGTGCAGACTTCACCTCCGCAACAGCGCCAAAATACGCACGTCCTAACTCCAGAAACCACTAAACAGCTCATCCACTCCCTCAACCCTATCACGACTCGACACTACTGCAACTCCCTCCTCACCTGCCTGCCTCGCCGCTGGCTATCCCCGCTTCAGTCGATCCTGATACGGCTGCCAGACTCATTCACCTTTCCAACCGCTCTGTCTCCGCCACCCCCCTCTGCCAATCCTCCACTGGCTTCCGATTGTGCAGACGGATCAAATTCAAAAGCTCTAACGCTGACGTACAAAGCTGTCCACCAACTGCCTCCGAACTACATCACTGACCTAATATCCAAGTACTGCCCAGCAGCACCACTCCCGCTCCTCCACAAGACCTCCTTTCTCATCTAGTTCCCTGAGTCCCCTCCTCATGCCCGCCTCCCAGGACTTCTCCAGGGTGTCACCCATCCTCTGGACTACTCCTGCCCCAACCCGATCAGATTATCACTACTCTCCTCTCTCTTTAGGCGCACCCCCCCCCTGAAAACCACCTCTTCAGGGAAAGCCTTACCCCACCCCTGCTAACTTGCCGACCTCCTCCACTCTTCCTACCACTCCATCCCCCACAGCTATCTCCTCCTGTATTCACTCGTACACATCCCATCCCTCCTAGATTGTAAGCTCGAAAGAGCAGGGCCCTCAATTCCCTCATGTTTTGCATTGTTTGGTATTGTTCTGTCACATGTTCTGTCCCCCTTTGTAATGTTACAGCGCTGAGCGAAAACCATGGCGCTTTATAAATACTGTATAATAATAATAATAATAATATAATAATAATATATTTCTTCATTTCCCTTTTATTTCATTGATGTTCTTAGGGTGGCTATGTTTGTTCTGCATGTACCTCCCCAACCGTGTATGTGAAGGTAGCCATCCTTACCTGCTCGCCGCCAAGATGGACTACACATTTTTCTACAGACACATTCAACTCTATGGGAACTTTAGTACACAGAAAGCAGGCCATGTGACTTGAAATGCCAGCACTACTTACTCTATACTTGTAACAGTGGTGAGCAATCAGTGGGGGGGATAGGAAGCTCAGGAGAAAAAGAAACCTGAAGACAATGGTAAGAGATGTTTTCTTTATTTCTTTTTTTTATGGAACACTTTATGAATTTGCATGTCAGCTTTGCTCAGAGACCCATGCTAATCTTCTTTGTTTTCATTAAAATTTTAGTATATGTGTTGCCAAAAGCAAGCACAGTAGTATATGTTTTAAACAAGCAAACAAAAAAAAAGAAGCAGAGCCATGGTATACTTGATATTTTAGAACGATTGATTAAATATAATTGAGTTCAGTGCCACTTTAAAGATGCCAGCTTTCAGGTAACTCTTCATGCCATACACTTCTCAAACACTGCTGTACAGCTTTTTTTTTTTTAAATATTATTGCCATATGCACAAATATACATAGCATAACAGTTCTTGAAACAAAGTACCCAATCAGGGGCAGACTGACAACTCATGGGGCCCCCGGGCAATAGGGGATCATGGGCCCCTGTGGTCCTTGCCCAAACTCAAAAAAGCCTATGAAAAGGGTACCAGGGGCATCTCATGGGGCCCCCTACTGACCCCAGGCCCTCAGGCAGTGCCCGAGTTTCCAAAAGGTCAGTCCGCCCCCCTGTACCCAATACAAGAATCTTAGCACAAAAAAAACAAAACCCCCCAAAAAATTATTTCCACGAGTATTATCCAGTCATAGCATAACAGGGAACAGTGTAGCTCAACTCAGTTCCCAGACAAGTGATATCAGCAAAGCCATGCCATAAATAAAACAGTAAATTATTAAATTACAATATTAGTGCATATAGTGCATATATATATTGTCAGTTTGAGGATGCTACATATGAAAAAAGAAAGAAAGAAACAGAAAGAGAAGGAAAAAACATATTTGTAACCTTTGTAAACTTTACGGAGTAAACAGCTATCCTCCCATCACATAGCAGTATACTAGTGTCGGTGTTACATTGTTTACCAGTGCACCAAATAGGCAAAATTATACAGTGGACAGATAACATGTATATCTTACAGAATACACTAATTATATTCCTCAAGGTCTTTCTTTCACTGTGTCTAAGGACACTGTCCACCTAAACCATATTCGCAGAAATTTATTTGGACATCCTCTATCTTCATATATCATTTCATATAAAGGGACATTAAAATTTACCAATTTTTTCCAGGCTGCCAAGCCAAGTACATCTCTTCATGTCCAATGCAATACTACCAGTTTACGCACATAACAAACTACTAATCTCAAAAAAGTTCTTGTGACATTATCCATAATATCATCCTCAATTACCCCAGAAAGCCAGTTAGCGGGCTACGTATATTTGAAAAATCTAAAGTGTCAGCTATAAAACTGGGTAACTTGTGACTAGTTTCACTTTAACTGTATATACATATGGTATACTAGTCCAGTGTTTTTCAGTCAAGGCACCCTTTAAAATTATGGACAGTCCCAAGGCACCCTTTAAAATTATGGACAGTCCCAAGGCACCCTTTAAAATTATGGACAGTCCCAAGGCACCCTTTAAAATTATGGACAGTCCTAAGGCACCCTTTAAAATAATGGACAGTCTTCAGGCACCACATTCTAAAATGGGGTGCTTCTAAGCTGTCCATAATTTTAAAAGGGCACCCCATTCTAAAATGTGAAAAACTATTCTAATAGTTTTATATGATGCAGCACCCTTCACACATGTAGGACACCCAACATTAGAGGGTGATTTATTCTTCCAAAGCAAATACACTTTTGCACACTGGTTACTGACTAGTATTCCAGTGTTCCTCTTCTCCCTCAGTTTTTCTCCATCACTGAGCTAATGTGACCCCAGCACTGATGGAGAGGAGGGGCAGGGGAGGGTCAAACTAGGATGCTGTTCAGGCAGCTGACATCCTCCTTGTCAACTGATGATGTCATTGGTTGTCAGGATGCCGACGGCTAGATGGGTCCTACAAGTTACATAGTTAGTCTGGCTGAAAAAAGACAACAAAAGCCCATCCAGTTCAACCATTAAAAAAAAAAAAAAAAAAACCCGGTTATAATCCTATACCCACAGTTGATACAGAGGAAGGCAAAAAAAAAAAAAAACCCCAGCAAAGCATAATCCAAGTTGCTCCTGCTGGGAAAAAAAATCCTTCCTGATCCCCTGAGAGGCAATCAGATATTCCCTGGATCAACTTTACCTATAAATGTTAGCATCCAGTTATATTCTGTGTATCCAAGAAAGAATCCAGGCCTTTTTTAAAGCAATCCACTGGCCAGGGAGTCTATTCCACATTTTCGCAGCTCTCACTATGAAGAAACCTCGTAATGGTGCACAATGAAAACCCATGGCTTTGTGTAACTAAAAGGCAGGCCTGTTCCATCCACTGGCTTGTATACAAGTTTTTGGCCAATTTTTAGACATTTTGTCAAGGATCCCTGAAGAAAACTCAAGGCACCCCAGGGTGCCTGGGCACCCTGGTTGAGAAAGGCTGTACTAGTCTATCAAACGTATGGACAAGCTGCACAAGGACAGCAATAATGAAGACCATATTAGATAATATTGGCAGGTAGGTTGGCACCCTGGAACTATATTAGTATGTGTTACAGTCAGCAACATGTGTGAGTAGCTATGTCCTGTACTGTGCTGCCCTACCACCTGGCCACAGCCAATGCTGACTATGCAACTATGGGGTTAGATCCTAATCACCGGAGGATCACATGGTACTGTTGAAGCTCCAAATGTTGTAAAATTTTATGAAGGGATGTACTTTTTGTATTTTACCATTCTGTAATGTAATGTATTATTAGTTACAATCTGTAATTCCTTGTGAGAGATAAACTACTTAACCAAAACTTAGGTAATTTTCTAGCTAGTGAATTTTGCAAAAAATAAAAAAAATGACTATTGAAGGGTATGATAGGATAGTATATATGTCTTTAGTTCTGGGGTAACTGGATTCCATGTCTTCATGCAGAAATGGGATTATTAATAATTTTATTTTATAATTTTTGTTTTTACACTATTTACAACACAATTAACTGCAATTTAGCTTAGGCAATGGTCAGCTTTGTGACTGTGTTTCTGGCAAGGCTGATGTAAGTGTATTACAGAGTATTTGGGAGGTGTTCAGTCTACCATGATTGGTGTTTGAGCATCAAAATGGCTAACCTGTTCCAAGGAAGCCAACTCCCTAAATACATGCCTCATCTTGGTCTGAATTGGTATGTCCCACTACACACCCACTGAGCAGCTGGATCAAGTAAGGCTGTCTGAACTGACATTTGCCAGTTAAAGGTTGCTGAGTCTCTGTCTATACTGTGCCAGAAATTATTTCAACAGTAATTTCCCAAGGACTCCAGGGTAAATGCATGGTGACAGGGGGAACGTCCTCTAGGCTTTTGTGATACCATCTTTAACCAGGAATTTGCAACTCTTTTTATTGTATTTTTCAAGCACATTTGTGACCTATCACGAGAAGAAGACACTAATGCTCTTGTTGCAGCCTGTACAAGTTGTGCACAGTTTCTAGAAAACCATCCAAAGAAAGCATCTACCAATGCTAGTTCTCCAGTGTCATATTTGGACCAAGCTCTAGAATGACATTATTATGTTTTTTTTTTTTGGGGCAGTGCTACCTCTGGTATCTTCCAGGAAATTGTTCATCTCCATTGCCTTCCACCACACATGGGTAGTGTATGTAACTGACTTTTCAAACTTTGTGTTAGTTAACAAATCCTAAACTCCATTTTTCATTGGCATATTATTTCTGAGCATACTGGAAGCAATAAGTGGATGAAACTGGTATTGAAGCAACTCTTGCGCAATGACATTATCACTTAACCTCTTGCCCTCCGGGAGAGTTAACCCCCTCCCTGACCAGGCAATTTTTTTGTGATACAGCACTACGTTACTTTAACTGACCATTGCGTGGTCATGCAACACTGTACATAAATGAAATTTATGTAGTTTTTTCAAATAGAACTTTCTTTCGGCGGTATTTTGATAACCTCTGCGTCTTTTATTTTTTGCGCTATAAACAAAAAAAGACTAACAATTTTGAAAGAAAAAAACTATATTTTTGACTTTTTGCTATAAAACATGTCCAATAAAAAAAAATAGAATTTCTTCATATTTAGGCCAAATTGTATTCTGCTACATGTCTTTGCTAAAAAAAAAATCCCAATAAGTGTATATTAATTGGTTTACGTGAAAGTTATAGCATCTACAAATGGCGGTATACAGTATATACTGGAATTTTTATCTTTTTAATTTTTATATACTAATAATGGTGACGATCAGCAACTTATAGCAGGACTGCGACGGGCA